GAAGAATTTGTTGGTGTTATAATTGTAAGTCGCATTTATTTGGAAAGTTAGAAACGTAATATGAAGAATGTGTTTCTATCTTGTTGGATATTTTGTGGATAAAGAAGTGAAGAACATTTTTAAAAATATCAAGATAAATAAATGGAACAAGTGAAATTTTTGTACGAAATGGGTTTATATTTGATGAAGGTCTACATGTACTTTCCTTTTTTTATTTGTGTGCTCCCTCTACTAGTGTTGGTACACACAATTGTCATGTTAGTACGACGTGCGTCCTTTACTTTGCTCATTTGATTTTTTAAAATTATATATTTGAATACTTTTGAATCATAACAACACATTCTATATAATTTTTTTGAATTAACGCATTGATACATGCGACAAAAACACTTATAAAATGATTAAAACAATCCTCATTTCCGATAAAAATGTCTGTATATTTTTATATTATTATTGTTATTTATTATTATCTTATATTTATTATTATATCAAGCACGAATATTTCCGAGTTCTAATGTGAGAAAAACGTTTTCAAAGATTAGCCCGCTCTTTTTAAGAACAACGCTTTTGAAATAGGATATACTAGTATTTATTTGTTTAACTGGGGCTATAGGGAATAAGAATGGCAACCTTTCAATTTCATGTATTGTGAAAAAACAAAGTACGATCACTTTAGATCATGAGTACTGAGAGTCAAAGTCTACTGTTGTTTAATCTGTAATTGCTAGAATTTAGGACAAAATTCTGGCAAGTGATTCTCATCAAATTATAAAATTTGGCTTCTATTCTATTGAAATAATTTTATTGTAATTCAATTTGTTCACAGGTCCTCAGGAGTGAAAATTAAATAACCCAAATTTTAGAACATTAAAATCCAGAACTCAGGTTTTTAGAATCTGAGAACAAACCTGTTGCAGACAGGCCTATAAGATTTTTTCTTAATGTTCTCATATTAAAAAGAAACAAAATAAATCAAATAACAATATTGTGAAAACTGTGTTGTCAAGCAGAGTCATTTTGTCAAGATAATTTTTTACCCCTCTCCCCTACAACAAACACACACATGTACGATTTGAATGCGTTAATTTATGTATATACGTACAGTATTTAGTTACAAAAATCTTCCGTCATCTTGAATTAAAAGCTATCGTATATTAGTATATTAATTATATAAGATTTAAAAATATAGGATACGCATTTAATACAATCAAAATCACGACACTTCATCATGGTAATATCAAATCATGACCCCTGCCGGTAATGTGGGGTCACAACAGTTGATCAAAGTTATGCAAAGGAATTTAAGGGATAAGTTTTAAAAAAAATCAAGAATAAGAAAGCCATAAAATTTATTGAGAAGCATCCTCAGGTGATGTAGATACAAATGTGTTCAATGCATCTGTTTTTTATTTAAACTCTTCAATAATTAACCGATTTAGCGATATGGCCAATCGGCCTCTATTTTAAATTCTGTTTAACAGAAAATAAGAGTCATTTAAATTTTGTGCACCATTCATAGACTCTGTACATGTACTTCTATCACAGGGCATAAGATGGAGGTAAACAACCCAGCAGGACCGTAACCACCAAGATGTCTGAGGAGTAAAAACAGAAGACACATAGATGTGTAAAGGATACGTTTATATAGAGACCACAGAAAAGTATTAAACAAGAAATCATCGGTTTAATATTCTGATAAATTGGATATATAAAGAATAGTGGTTCTTTTATTCAAGAAACATCAGGGAGAATTACTCAACAGTTCATAGTGGAAGGATTGCTAAAACGTGTAAGTGAAATTTCATATCAGATAAATGATACAGATCAAGGCCCAACCACTAGGATTTTACCACAATGTTACCCACGAGCTGGAACTAGGAAACCCACCTTACAAACAGAATTTGGAACAGTCAGTAATTTGGACCTTGACTCTCGCAAAGCATGTCAAAGTTGTGAAAAGGGATACAAATATATTTCCATCAATCTTAGGAGTAAAAAATGCATAATATCAACTCTTGCATATTGTGATTGTGGTAGACTTGCATGTATCATTTTAATTCTATTTGGAATTCTACATAATTTATAGAAGACTAATACATGATCTATTTTTTTTTTTATTCTTAAAGTGTGTGCTGTGTTCATTATTTAAATGGTGATGATCCTCTCAGCTCATTGTTCCCTTTTACATATGCAGTATGAATTCCTAATGTTTTCTATATCTGTATATGAGAATACTAAGTTAATGTATTTTGATTGCTTCACCCAAAGATTTCATCAGGGGAGTGTATGAATTGAAATGTTTAGCTCAAGATGATTTTTGGGGCTCCTATGTCAAAGTATTAGAGCGTTTGCTCGAGAGTCACGCAGTTAAGTGTTATTCCTTACGTCGTGGTTTCCCACCCACTGCAGGACATGCAGACTAGGTGCAGGCAAGGAAAAATTCTCCGATTACAAAGGGACGTTAAAGAAACAAAGAAAAAATTTTTTTCGTTTGAAAAAATGAGTTAAAAGAAGTGTTTCATTCAGCTGTGTTTTGGGGTGCAGATAAAACAGTACATGGAGGGTTATTTTTATATATTGTTTATATACTACTGTGCCTTATTGGAGGAAGCACATTTGTTTTTGAAATTGTATACACGTTTTTGACATTGTATTTCATATTTATTTTGATCACATGTTGATAGTACCAATTATTGTTGAACCTATCAACATAAAGAGGGGGTAAGATGGAAATTTTCGACTTTTCTGGTGAATCCACCAGCTTTCTGTCCTTGTGTATGGAAACGAACTTAGTCATTGTAAAGGAAAACTACGAATGCTTTTTGATTTTAATGCTTTTGGTGGATCCACCAAACTCTCCACTTTTAATAAATACACAGGCAATGTTGACAATATATCATTTAAGTATTCTTGAGTATTCCTATTTGCATTTTGGTGGATCCACCAAGTATTTGTAAATGAAATCGAGAATGCCTTGTTATTTGATTTTTTATACAGTTTGGTGAGTCCACCAAACTCCTCTCTGTATTTAAGGACAATTTAGTTGAACTTTGGGTTACATGTAGATTTTTGACTTTTCTGGTAGATCCACCAGCTTTTTGTCCTGTGTACATAAATGTATTAAGGAAGTGTCACTAGGTAATTGTAAAGGAAAATTATGAATGCCTTTTGATTTTTAGCTTTTGGTGGATCCACCGAACTGCCCACTATAGATAATTACACGGATAATGTTGACAGTATATCATTCAAGTATTCTTGTGTATTCCTGTTTGTATTTTTGGTGGACCCACCAAGTATTTGTGAGTAAAATTGAGAATGTCTTGTTAGTTGATTTTTTGCATTTTGGTGAGTCCACCGACTCTGTATTAGGGACAATTTTAGTTATACTTTCTTTTTTAGTTTTTGGTGGTTCCTCCACTCAGTTTCTCTCAATGGGTTGTTTCAGTGTCTTAACACTGGTGGATTCACCAACGTCGTTTTTAAAGTATCGTCATTATCAAAAGTAATTGAGAATTTCACCAGATTGCTTTTATAAATTTGAGCTGAATTGTCTATTTGTATTTTTGGTAGAATCACCAAGTTTTCTTGAAGATATTTCAGTTGTTTTGTTGGTAAGTTCACCAATTCTTTTAATGAATTGTAGAATTATGTATGGTCAAATTCACTCTTGTTTTCTTGGTGGAACCACCAAGATCAATCTTTATTTGAAGATATTTGATAATTCAAATTGGTGGATTCACCAATCCTTTGACTGTGAATATGGAATACCGATACATTATTGATCTGTTTTAACATAAATATTGGTGACCACACCAATTCTTGACTTATTCAATAACGAAAATGAATAAAAAAAATTGTCGATTTCTGAAATTGCATTGTCTTCATTTTTCATTTTGAATTAAAAAAAGAGGACATGAATAGAAAATCCTCTTTCTTAATGGAAACAGTTGTTAATAAAATTTATAATGTTGATTGATGACAGTATTGTGCATTTGTTCAAAATGCTATAGGAAAACATCATAATTATTTGAATTCTCAGCAAAGACAAGTTTATACTATGTATTTTACCAATATGACAAGAATTATCAATTCATACACGTATAATATACTTGGTTTTGTATTTAGATAAATAATACAAATAATGTAGGATCGTGATATTTTTAAACCGCCTTAAAATCAAAACATAAATGTACTTTTGCGAATATAGTGCAAAAAATGTAGTTTTGATAAACATAAAAGTATTTCCCCGTTTTGAGGTCAATTCTGTAAAATAAGGACCCAAGAATTAGCCTGCAAGTTGACATTAATGTAATCTTCAAAAACATTAAACAAGCATATAATACATGTAAATATATACCGACATGAATATATGAAAACACAACAAATGGTAAAATATCAATCAGTTCTAAAGACAATGAATTCTTGTTGATGCTGAGTGACGACAAAACGTGAACCCTGATCAAACTTATATCGCAAAAATGACACACTTCTTGATGATTTGTCATGAGTTCATTTTATGAAAAACAAAAATAATAATTTCATTACCTATTGCTAAATATTTGTTCCTCAAATACCGTTATAGGTATGCCTCGTTTTCTTTTAAAACACATCATAGTCGACCGCGTGGCACAGACGTTACCCTGTCTGCTCCTGACTTGCAGATTAAGGCGTTGATCCTTACGCCGCGGGTTCGAATCCACTGCGGGACATGGAGACTGGTTCTTCGGATGAGACCGTATAAACCGAGGTCTCGTGTCGCAGTACAGTAGATGTTGGCACGAGAAACTTCCCTCATCGCTCAATGGTCCTGAGTTCCAAGTATAGGTCAAAATTTGCAGCCTTCTAAAGGCAAGTGGTGGCGTCTCCATATGAGAGAAAAATTCTCGAGAGGGACGTTAAACAACAAACAAGCAAACAATAAAACACATCATAACTCTTTTGAAAAGTAATATATAAAAATGGGTATGGAAATGCACACATGTAACTTCTGTAACTACATGTATATGATAAATGTTCAAGGATATTTTTTAAAAAAAGAACACAAAACAACACAATATGTACATGACATGGGGAACATCAAATCAATAAAAATGAATAGCTTGAAAAAAAAATCACTGACTCCCAGAAAGATATCTGCAACACACACTAACAAAGTCATTAAATAATTCTTGAAAAATCCCCAACAACAGAAAAAAAATTGGGAATAAAATTATCGTCTTCCACTAGGAAGATTATCAGGATGCTTGCTTCTAGTTTTCAATTTTTTAGTGTAATTTGATGTATATAATTCTTATTTGTTGGGGAATCTTTTCATAATTTATTCATGTACCCCTTAGATATTCACTTGATAACACATATTATATCCGGGTCAGTCTAAAATAGGCCACTAGCTGCAATAAGCTAGAATTTGAGCCGAAACTTTTATAATTTTAATTTTGTTTTCATTTTCCAACTCTGTATATAGCAGATGATAAGAGAAGCCAATTTTTCTGAAGTTTCGTGCTAAAAAAAAATTATTAAATTTCTCTGTTAATGTACGATTCATAGATTTTTCCATTTTCATTTATGGAATTCCCCATGTTCCTTTTCGGCTCTGTTGTATGGTGTCTAGTCAACCTTCCATCATTTTGGTCAGTTTTCAAAATAACTGTAAAGTTCTCCTCCTCAGTGTCCATGTTGATGGTAACATTGGCCGTTCCATTGAACACAGATTCATTATGCAAAGGTTGGTAGTTTTGGTACCCAAGTTTTGATCCGTCCACAATGTTGCTCGGCCATGTAACCTTGGAGTTTTCTTTTGATGCCATTACAACTTTTGGTTTTTCGCAGCCTCTTTTGGCAATGTACAGCAATACTACGGCAAATGTTGCAATTGAGAACGCCACAGACAACATTTGCCATGGGATACCTTGTGCCTTTTCTCTTGAAATTTTGGAATTTGATTTTGGAAGCGATTCCATTGATACATTCTCACTTCTCTGATTCAATTCTTGCATCTCTGGTACCCGTATTTTCGGCGTAGGAATTTCTACATAAATTTTATCATTTGTACATATTAGATAATCATAAGATGCATGATAAGTTCTTTTACTTAGAATAAACAAAAGTTAATTATTTAAAATTAATGTTAATTATGAGATACCGTTATTAAAAAAGAAATTTTGGAAGATATATGAATTATGTCACCAAGTGAAGTGTTTTATCATAGTATATATGCAGATTATATAAATATACTGTACATGTACCTGTAGTAGATACAGGGCAACCAAAGGATACATTGCATTGAGACACATCACATTCTGTACACAGGTTAGAACATCCCTCTCCATAACGACCAGGACTACAATGTCTGGTACAGTTATTACCGAAGTATCTAGGGAGGCACCCTGAAATATTTGTTTTATTTTATAAATAACATTAGAATTACTTTAAGAAATTCTTACGTTTTACTTAAGATTTACTTGGGAGTTAAGTTTCACTGATATAAAGGTAATTCGCCATTCAACATTTTTTTCTTCGATTTTGTAGTACGCATGAGGCATAAACTACTGTATAGGGGATTAATTTCACGGGTTGTAATTTTCACGTTTTTCTCTCCTCTGACACGATCGCGGTTTGTTGAATTCGCGGAATCGATACATGTATATAATAAAGTTACCTCCCTTGTCTATATCCGTTTAATCCATAGCATAGCTAGAACTGTTATGTATTCACTTCACAGGGTATGTTTCTATAAAATAGTTAGATTTAATAATTAATTAGTTATTAAAAGTCCTTGACTATAAACGTCGAGTCACTTTCCTATATGTTATTACGACACCGCAAGATCTTCTTTCTGAAGGGATAATACATCAAGGCAAAAAACCACTGGACAGCTGCTGGACGGTAAGAAATGTGTTAATGTAGGTCGACGAAATAATATCCTTCCATATCTTCAGCAAGTTTGATATTATTTGAATGATTTTGTAAAACTAAAATGTCCATAAAAACTAATACGTATGATAGTGCAGGTAACAAATACACGTGGTAACATAGTTATGCATGGGTAATCAAAACCCATGACCCACGTGTTTTGATTGATAAAACATGTAGCGTTAGATATTAAAACAGCTTTTTAACAAATACAGGTTATTATCTGTTGATCTAAATTAAAGTAAAGCTTGATAATTAAAATAATTGAATGACAAGTGCGACTCGTAAGTACTTAAATGACCATGTACTACACGTAAATATACCTATCGTAGTCAATTCTCAAGTTTCCAAATATAACATGGAGGTTATTGAAAACTTATTCACTGTTTCTTGAATTCACGGATTTATTAACACCGTGAATATAGCGAATATTAACACCGCGAGTTATTTTCCCCCTATACAGTATTCTTTCTGAAAAGAGGAATAATTTCAAGCAGCAAAGGAATTTATTCTTTGATACATATAAGCATAGTCCTGTTAACAATAAAATCTAAATACAAGTTTTCATAGTTAGAAGATAAATGTAATTCTACTTTCATTTCAGACTTTCAGCTCGGGATCTTATAGGTCAAGTCATTTGAGCGTTTTAATGTAAAAGGTTATTGTCACATGCATGTATAAATTTACATAATTATCCAAAAGTTTGTATTGAAAATTTTAAAAATGAACACTGGAATCATTCCAAGGAAGCCGACATTGCTTAAATAAGATTGAGAACATGTTAGAAACGTACCAAACTCGTGTGAGGTCCTGAGAGTCAACTTCAACAGCAATAAAAGTTTTACTGTATTTTTTCGTGCATAACTTCGTGGGTCACTCATAAAGTTACTTTCATTCAGATGTCGACTGGATATATCCCAGTGAACTCGAAATAATAGACATTAATAGAATCTGCCACATCTGTTTCATATTTTGGAGTTTTAATGACTATAGATGATAATTATCAACTATATAATAACGAAATTGTATGACAAACGGGATGACTTCAGTTTATAGACATTCCTTTTTCTATTTAAAATCAATCTATGTAATATCATTTGGGAAGTGTTACATTTTCATAGGTGCTACTATGTCATATAATGTTCATTACTCAGTCTAGAGAAAAACCGCTTAGAAAAAAAGTAAAAATATAAGTACCTATGAATTTGCTGAATTCAATGAAATCATTTAGAACTGTCTTTTCCCAAGATATTTTTAAGTGTAACCGGTATATAAGAACTTCCTGAAATTTTGTTTAATTTAAAGCCCGAGATAATAAGCACCGACCTCAGATTTACTTGGTCTGTATACCCCGTCAATCAAGTGAATTAAGGTCCATCATCGGGTACCTGAAATGGATTGACATTTTTCTGCTAGTCCCTGTGTATAACTTGTAGACCTTGTTTGGCTCTCGTAGCGACCATCAAATCATATTTTGGTCTTTTGATGTTTACCGCATATATACCAGTGCGATAAAGAAGTTATATCAATTTTTAGCTTGATTATAATTATCTGTACTACACACACAGCAAAAATAATGTTTTACGCAATTCTGTAACAATTCCTAATTTGGATATCGTTTTTGCGCCATTTTACAGAGGATATGCCTTTATACATTATTTAGTGTAAATTTCTAAATTTTGACCTAGTCTGCGATCCGATTTTCGCAGTTTTAAAATTTGACTATGTCTAAAATGAATTAGATATTCTTTTAGAAATTTTAAAACAAATCATTGGAATTTATTGTTAATACATTTCTACAAAGTTTGGATATAATTTGACGTTAAGTTAAAAAGTTATAACAGAAGTCCGCGAACTTTCCGAACAACCCTCGTGCAATAATAATAAAAGCTGGATACTTATTGCCTAGGCAATAACAGGTCTTCCGTTTCCCTGATTCTTTGAAAAAACCACAAAAATCTTGTCAATAAGATTTCTCTAAATGATTAACAAAAGTTATTTCAAGGCTTCCCCAGATATATAATTTAAATACAGATAAAAACTAGTAAACAAATTGTGCCGTGAACAATTAGAGGCTTTTCCACCTTTTTAAGTGTTTCCGTGTCAAACGGATTGAAAAAAAGAAGAAAAATGAAGAAAAATGCTCCTACAGCAGGGATCGAACTCGCAACCTTTGGATCAGAAGACAGGCGCTTTACCAATAGACCACGTATTCCGATGAAGATGTAGGTAGAAAATTAATTGTTTAGGAATAAATAGGAACAAAAACACGTGTCCTTTTGGTTTATAATATAAATTCAGATTTTCGGTTTAAAAAATTATTTGAGTCTGTCTATATTTTGAATGCATTGAGTTAATCATTTAGAGCCTATGAAGCATTAGAACTGCAGTGTCGAGATTTCGTTTACAAATATATGAAAATGTCGGTTCAGATGTGACTGAATATCCTGAAATAATAGGTTTGTTTGTTTGTATGTTGTTTAACGTCCCTCTCGAGAATTTTTCACTCATATTAAGACGCCACCACTTGCCGGTGGAGAGCTGCAAATTTTGTCCTATACTCGGCACTTACGGCCATTGAGCAGTGAGGGATCTTTTTCGTGCCAGCACCTACTGCGACACGGGCCCTCGGTTTATACGATCTCATCCGAAGGACCGGTCTCCACGTCCCACAGTGGGATTCGAACCCACAACGTAAGGATCGACTCCTTTCTTCGCGACTCTAGAGCGAACGCTCTACTCACTGCGCCACGCGGGCGACTGAAATAATAGGTAAGATTAAAATAAGCATCTCTGTGTGGATTGAATGAAGTAGTATAAATTAAAATTTCAGATATACATTTTAGGAACAAAAAGGTGTCATTGAGAACGTGATAATTTATTTTGCTAGGAAAAATCGCTGTTTTTCGACATTTATTCAATTTATATTAATTCTAAATAAAATTGAAATAAATTCCACATACTAGAGAAAGCAAGAATGCTTGGTATTAAAATATCATATCATATCAAGAGAATCGACTGCTATTCATAACAACTGAAGAAATAACAGAGAAAAGCTTTAATTCATTTTTATGTTCATCGGCACCTAAATTTCAGATACGAAAAAAAAAAATGTAGTGTTTGTCTTAAACATTCATAATTTCTATATACTTTAGAGATTCACCGTCAAACTTTCAGGAAACTTTTTTTCAGGTGTCTTCTGCAGAACCCCGAAATTTTATGTCGATCGAATATTCTAGGTTGATATTGGTTTGATTTTTTTTTTTTTTTTTTTTTTTTTTTTTTTGAAAAGAGGAGTAAATTAATTATTGATTCTGATATTTTGGTCAAAGGTCAAGGTCATTGTGAAAATCCCGGAAATAACTCTTTACTTTCTATGGTTTTTTTTTTTACTTCATCATGACCGAAATTACTCCAAACAAATAAAATATTCATTCTACACTTAAATTATTCACAACTGATCATCCCTAAAAGTTTCCATGAAAAACTACTCATGCTTGAGACAACTTCCGGTTTCGGTCAGCACTTCCAGTGAAAATAATTTGCATGGTTATAGTCTATCTAACATCTGCATTAGCTATACATTTCTGTAAAAAGAAAAAAAAAACTTGGAAAATTCACTTTTTTGCATCGCTTCCTGTCACGACCGAAAGAGACGGCAACGTACGATTTTCACATGATGTAGAAAACTGGTGACTGACTATTTTGCGGACATTTAAACGCGCGGCCGGAAGTGAATTTTACAAAGACATTTGACGTTACTCTAGACATTTTAAATCTTTATTACATATTCTTAAATCAGTTCAAATACGTTATCTATAACAAATAATTATGGGAAAGTAAAGTACTCAAATTATGCAGTTTTTGTTTCCGGTGGGACCAACATATTTCGAAACAATAAATAAGTTGCAATTATGTGATGCAAAAAAAGATTCAAAAAAGAAAAGTTAAAAATTTCGATTTCTTTGATCACTTATTGTGACGACTGGAAGTGACGGTTGACGCTCTTAAACCAAATGAATTTGCCTACTCCTCAAGATCTATTACTCATATAAGTTTGGTGTCTTAATCTCTTTCCGTTTCTGAGATATGACTCGGACAAAATATTTTTGAAAAAAATGGAAATCGGACATATCTGACGATCGGAAATGAATTTTGAAAATATGAAAAAAAACATTTGGGGGTATTTTTATTCTCTATCATCCCTGAAAATTTCAAGAAAATCCACCGAGCCATCTCTGAGAAATCGAGGGGGACAAGAAAAGGGGGGAATAATAATTAACAGTACAATCACTATAAAGTCTTCCGTTTGAAACGAAAGACCTTAAAAATAAAAGGAACAGGCGAGGATGAATATCTTACTTTAAAAAAATTACATAATTAATTAATTTTAACCATGAACTCAACTCATTGATACAATGGCATAAGGTACATAAAATTTTACCAATAATAAATGGGATTTCTGTTTATTCAT